TGAAAAGCACAAGTGGAAAAAAAGCAAAAGCCACATGGAAGGAAACAACATCCCAAAGTGTTTGCTCTTGCTCTCCCCAGGTGGCCAAAGCCCAGAAGAGGCAAAAGACTCAGCTCAGTGGTTAGGCCTGGCTTACAAGTGCCAACCTGCTGCTTAGAAAAATCTCATTTTCCTCTCTGGTCTCCAATGCCCAACAATGTCTTTTTATTTTTTAAAATGCATATTTATATATAAAATCCAATGCAAGATGCCTCCAAGCCTCATTCCCTCCATCTCTTCCACCTAAACTTGCCAGTATTTGGTACCTTTTTTCTTATCAATGCTCTTATATCCCAAGATCAATGCCACTTTTCCTGCCTCCTCTATTTTATGTGCATAGTTCACTATTTGCCCCCTCCAAAAAAAACTGGAGCAGTGGCATTGACCCCGTTTTCTTTACACCTGCACCCAATCCCTGGGATGTTTCCCTTCTACCACCAGCTTTCCCTTATCAGGTAGGATTTTGGACTGATGGCAACGCTGCCAACTGCTCCCAGCTAATCCCTGGCAGTCTGTGGCTCAGGGGGATGTTCTCCATCCCACAGGGCACCAGGAGAGAGCTGCAATAATTCATGACAAGTCTCGTGCTCCAAACAGACCAAAGTCACATCCAACGGCATAGAATTTACCCCTGGAAATTTCTTTTTCCTTCTGAGGGTTTATAACCACCTGGATAAATTTATGCTTCCCATTTTCCTTCCTTGGACACACCAACAAACCACTCTTGGTTTCCCAAAATCTCCCCGTGGCCGTTTCAAGCTCTGTTGTGTCACTCCGGTGTTTCCCCCTGTTTGAACCTGTGTCCTAAGACAAGATCCTGAGGAATCTCCCAGGATCCTGGAGTTACCCCTTGGTTAGATCCCAAGCATCTGGATCCATGAGCTGTTGAACAGCTTTATTTCAAGCAGTGCTCCAGAGCTGAACCAAACCCCCTTCTCCCCTGTATTAAATATAGGATATGTTGTAGGTGCCCACACACTGAGTTCATGCAGCCTTGTGCAGGGTAACTGTGCAAATCCTGCCTTTCCCACTTTTCCAGCCTTTTTCATATTATCTGTTCAGAAACAGAAAGAAGAAAAGGAAGTTTTTCTCCTGGACACACACAAGCCACAAAAAAGTGCTGCAAAATTACCACACTTTAAAGTGGGATTATTTGCTTTGTGAGCTTTGGTTTCAGCTGGGAGAGAGTTTTAAGTGTATTACTTTAACAAGTCCTAACAGCATTAGAGGATTTACTGTCAGTGATTTGCACAGGAAATCCAATTATTGCTTTTCACTTCTGTTTAGTGCAAACATTACTGTCAGAACATCTATGGCTTTAGAATGTACTCAAGGGCAAAACAAGAGCTGGAAGTGTCCAAGGCCAGGTTGGACAAAGCTTGGAGCAACCTGGGCCAGTGGAAGGTGTCCCTGCCCATGGCAGGGGTGGAACGAGATGATCTTTAAATTCCTTCCAACCCAAAGCACCCTATGATTCTATGCCATTTTGCAGAAAGGATTTTATTTTTTTAACCCACATTACATAAACCTTAAAACCCAAGACTTCAGCGTTTGCCTTCGTACATTCCTAGTTAACAGGAAAATTTTGTTTCATAAATTTATTACTTAGTCCTAAAGTGCCTGGCACTATTAGGCCCACAAAGAGACCTGTGTTTTCCTCAGACCAGGTGGAGAGGTCCTGCTTTCAGGATCAAGAAGCTGCACGAGCAGAAAGGGGCGTGTGGGAAGTCAGGAGGCACGTTGGAAAATTTTCACTACAACTAAAAGTAGCAGAATGTAACTTCCAGTAAAACTTCCCAAAGCATTTGGGTCTAATGGCACCTTTTGAAGAACTATTTGCCAAAGGGAAAGACAAGGCCAAGCAGGTACAGAATTGAAACATCACGAGGAGTCAAAAGCATTTTCATGAGCTGCATTGCCACCAGCTCAGGTTTTAAATCACTTTCCCGACACAGGTTTTAGAAACCAACAAGGAGCAGAGAAATTAGGAAGGAGGGCCCTTCATGCGCTTGGTGGCTCAGGGGCAGGAGGCTGGTTCTGCACCCTGATTACTCAGGCTGGTGTGGCCCCAGGGAGCAAGGCTGGGGCTACAAACCCACTATTGGCACTTCCATGATCCCCGTGAGAGGCACTTGCAGAAACCCATGGGACAGAAGAGGTTGTAACCACAGCAGGCTCAGGGACCACCTCACGATCACTGGACTCACAGGCAGTAGGAGAACATTTCTGGACCAGTGCAGTGTCAATATTTGATCAATACCCAAACATTAGCCTTGCACAAACACGGGTCGTATCAAACCACCGTCAACCAAAGGAGTGCTTATGACCACAGGTTTATCTCGAAGCCACAGACACACAAAACCCTTGTAATTTATTCTATTTTCTTTGGCAGTGGTACAATCCAACACCCTTTGGGTACAACACGTGCTGCTGCTTCTCCACAGCACCACCAAACCCAAAATGTCTCAGCCACAGCAAGGAAAAAGCGGCAACACGAGAGTCTAGAGACACCCAAGCCCCAGGGATGGGGCTACAGAAACCTCAATCATGCCCATTCTTTTTAAAAAAAGGTTTTTTTCACCTGATATCAGCTTTGGAATTAGGACCAGGTTGGTTTTATATCTATTAATATAAAAACACACAGGCTATTTACTCCACTATAAATTCCTTTTCAGTCTCTAGCAGGGTATGCTCAGGCTGCTGAAGCACAGGAGTGGTTCTTTGAAACCATTCAGAGTTAAACTGAATTGTTCCTAATTACGAGAGCACAGCAGCACTACAGCACACAGGTTTATTCTGGGGGAAAATGGAGCATAACGATGTTTATGCAGCTATGATGAGTTGTGATGGTGCTTAACACAATCTCATGGCTCTTTGTGCACACACACAACCCCTCCCAACGACCCATATGTGTCCCTCTAAGTCTGCAGGTGACCTGGGACAATTCAAAGGCCTTTTAGCACCATCCCATTTCTTCCCCCATTTCCAGCATGCCCTGCAGTGGCCACCACTCCTGGAGCACAGCATGGTCTGTCTGACCAGGGTATCTGCACCAAGCAGAGCAAACAGGACTCAGGAGGTGCCTTCAACCCCATCAAACGTGGGGGACACACTCATGTTGGAGCTGAACTATCCACACTCAAAACCGTCACCATTTTCATGTCTTTCTCAAGGCTGGAGAAGGCACATCAGCTCCATCCCAGCTCCACACCATAAAAGATGAGGTGAGGTCTCGTGGTCCTTAAAGCCCAGCCACCACCACCATGACTTACTGAGTTATGTGAAAAACACCCATAACCTCTGGGAACAAGGACTTACAGAGCAGGCTCCAGCACCATCTCCAGACACATGGATCCACAGGGCCTTCTTCCTCAGGTGCCCTCTCCACTCCAACAGACCAGTCTTTCGGAAGGCACATCCGTATCCATAGCTCCTCACCCTCCCAAAGGAAAAAGCTCAGGAGAGCCACTGCTTTCCATCCTCCTGCATGGCAGACACCTCCAGACAAGCCTCTCTCCCTGTTCTGTGTCCAGGGGTAGCCCTGGGCTAGGTCCAGCCCTTTATCTCCTCCCCTCTTGGCAGCCAATTCTCCCAAATCTGCTGCAGCTGGATCTCCACTCAGGACTTGACTGGCCTCACCTGTAGCTCAGCTCCTCTGGGCCCAGCTCTGTGAACTCCAGCAGATCCAGCCCAGCTGCCCAACCTTGTTTAAAACACCTGAGAAAACTGCCAGGGAGACTCACACAAGCCAAGACAGAAAAAGGAAGAGATGTGGTTGAGATGGAGCCACTCCCAGCTGGAGGATTCAGAGGAAAAACCTTGAGTAGGGAGTGCTAAGGGGACAGTCCTGGCACTGGAAACATCAGGTGAGGGAGCGGTTGCACGGAGCAAGGAGTGAGATGCTGCTCACCTTGAGGGAGCAAAGCCCCCATTATCCACCCCCCCCCGGAATACCTACTGCTTTTAAAGCTGAGCAAACATAGGGATGGCACTTTTCCAAGCCTGAGGCGTCAGCAACACCTAATCAGAAATGGTTCATTTAACATGCCTCAAAACTGCCTTTAATGTGGTCCCACACCAGTGTAGTGGAGGCAGCTTTGGGCCTGGCAAACTCTGGGACAGACTAGTTATGGTCCAGCACTGAGGGGAGAGGGAGCCAAGGCAGGATGCAATCACAGGGATGGATCCCTATCCCGGGATACCAAACTTGCACATCACATGGGAAAAACTGTTTAGTGGTGAACTAATGGTGGTGGTGCTGCATTGATGGTTGGACTTGATGTTCATAAAGGTCTTTTCCAACCTTAGCAATTCTATAATTCTATGGAATTACTCTCTGTGGTACTCATTTCATTACTGTCAGGGTCCAGAAGGACTTTAGAAAGAGGCAGACATTCAGTTCAGCTTTTGCATCAACAGATGTGGCACAATACCTGAAGGACCATAAAATCAGGGTGCTCAGAGGCTGCCACACCTGGATGCCACCCATGGCAGAGGTCCCGTGGCTGCTGAATTTATTCCCAGCCTTTTCCAGGTGCAACAAACCCTCTCCAAAACATGCACTGGTTTTCTTTGCCGGGAGCTCACTCAGCCTTTGCTTGGGTGATGTTTTCACAGCCAGTTCTGCAAACCCACCAGCAAGAAGATTTCTTGCTCTTGCCATCTTCCTCCAGCAACCAGAACCTGCTGTTGAAGCCGGGACTGGCACAAGGCTGTGTCCCTTCTCCCAGAATCTCTGCTGAGAGCGGATCCGCTGGGAAAGGCACAGTGTCCAAATGGTAGTGCAGGGCCAGCCCTTAAGCTGGACCTGACTTGAATCCTTTGGGTTTATTTACCAAACCCCGGGCCTGGGTAGGTGCCGTGGGGCAGCGCTGACCCAGCTCTCTGGTCAAAGGCCTGCAGGGAGCCGGGAGATAGAGCAGGTTAACGTTTAACCCCGGGGACTGTAAACCAGCCCCGGGGCTGCTGAACCTTTGGAGTTTGATATGATGATTGGGGAATAACCGGAGTGACACGTCGCAAACTCTCCATAATCAAGGAGACCTCTTTCCCGGGTGGTGATCTCCAAAATTGCTCAGGTACGTGGCCGCGCGTTCCGCCCGCGGGTTTTGGGGTGTGGGCACCGGGGCCCCCGCGGAACGGGGCTGTTAGCTGGGATGGGGAAGGAGCGGCTCCGCCGTGTGCCTTCCACCCCCTGGCAGTGCCCCACCATCGGATCCGTGCTTCGGGGGCTGCCTGACACCAGCAGGGCTGGGCTGGGGGGCCGGACCCTCGCACCGGCACAGCCCCGCACCGCTCGGTTCGGTCTGGTGCTGACCCGGGTGGGGAGAGCGGGGCTCCCTGCGCGCCCCGGCACAGCTTCTGCCTGGCAGCAGCGGCAAAGAGCTGTTTTTCCCCTGCTTTCCTCCCTCTGACCGCGGTTTTCTGGCGGTTGCCAGAAAAGCGAAGGCAGACGAGGCGGAGGGAGGAGGAAGGGTTTTCCCCGCCGCAATTCGGGCTCGATCTGTTAAAGCGCAACTTTCCGGGGCTAATCATTAGAGATATTCCCAGCCGACCTCTCACTCCTCCTCCTCTTTGCAAAAGGTCAGTCCCCGGAGCGAAGGCGATCGCTGGTCCTAAGAAACCCTCAGTTTTCCCTAATCCCCTCAAACCAGCACAGAATGCCTGTCTTAAACTCTTTCCCTCGGTGAAACAGCAGCTCCGGGTGGGAGCAGGCACGGGAGCAAGGCTGGTTTCAAAGTACCCGGCACATGATACTGCAAATAAAACAGGAGGGAGGGAGGCTGGGCTGGGCATCAGCTGCTCTTCGTCCTCAGAGAGGACTTTTTGGGGCGTTTTGTGTGCGTGTGGTGACAGAGCTGCCAAAGCTGTGTGCAGGAGGAAAGGTGTTTCCAAGGGAGAAGGTGAATCCCAGGGAAAAGGGCCCGAGCAAAGAATTTGCTGGTTTGCGTGTGAAATGTTTTCTCAAGGCTCGTGTGCTGCAAAGGGTGAAGAGCTTTCACATTGCTTCTGGTTTATGCTGCTTTCCTGCAAATACCTGTGAGTTCCCACCTTCTGTGGAACCCCCTGAGCTGGAAAACAACCCTATGCCCTGGAAAAGCAAAGGGACAAAAGCCTCGTGCCCCATTGCTCAATCAGACTCCGTCCTGCAGCGTCTCACAACAGCAAAGAGCTGGGGTCAGCTCATGAAGCTTCGAGTGTCTGGTTTGGGGAAGAAAATTCCGTATGTTTAGTGTTTATCTATGTATATAAATGAATATATATTGCTTGGAGCCCGGAGGGAGGGAAAAAACCCTCAAAACCTTGATAAGCTAAAGGAAAACAGTTCCTCCAGTTTGGGTTATTATGGGTAAAGAGTGAATATAATTATCCAGTGTTTCCAGAGGTTGTTATTCCTCATGAGGAGCAACTGCACCGGGGGGGTACCAGCACAAAACAGCCTTCATGAGATGTGTCCAAGTGACTCAACACGTTCAGACACGAAGGTGTATCGATCCCTGCAGGATAAACAGGGTTTCATTATCTCATTCATGGAAACAGTAACCAGGTTTCCCCGAAAGGGCTGCCAAGGGGCAGGCTCTGGCCTCAAATACCACCTTTCCTCCCCTCAGCAAAAATCCTGGCATGGGAGCCATCCCTTGGAGGAGGAAACAAACCCCCCACTTTTCCAAGCAACTAACCCAAAAGTGAAGTAAAATGCACATTTTGGGGGTAAAAGCTGGATTCATCTTGCTCCTGGATGGATGGAGCAAAGCTGTGGGATCTGCCTGTGGCAGCTGGTAAGGAAACCATGTGTGCAAGTAACCATGGAGAGGTGAAGCAGTATTATAATAGTTTTGTTTCTTGTTGGTGTGAGATTTGCAAGGCATAAAAGTGCCTTGGCATTTTAGAGCTTTAGTAGAAACCTAAAATAAATGAGAGTGTTCAGTGGAGAGAGGAAAATCAAACTCAGTGATGCTCTGATTTCAGGTAAAAGCAGCTCCTTCCTTTTCTAATAGCACTTGATTCTGTGACCGTGATAACTTGGTAGCATTGTCAAAACTTCATCAAAATTGAAGGTGAAATAGGAAACTCCAGGACAATTTGCACTTCCAAAGGTGTTAATTTCAATATAAACATCTGAAAAAAATGCAACCTCCCTCCCTGCACTTTTTTCTTTTCTGTTTAGCTGGTGGCCCTTCTTAATAACAATCCATTTTAAGGGCAAGCCCCTGAAATTGGTTGATTTCCAGAACAATTATTTCTACTAAGTGTGCTTGGCTTGATTCTTTTTTAAAAACAGTGTTAAAAACACTGCCTTAATTTGCTGCAGTCATTCACACTTTCCATCAGCAGCCATGCAAGGGGGGTTTTCCCACTGTGAGGGTGGATTTGCTAATTGATTCATGGCCCAGGGAACAAAGAAGGAGAGAAAGTAGTCGTGTTTCCCCCGGGTGACAGCAGCTCTCCTCCCTTACCCTTAAGGTACAAAAAAATATCCCAGTACACTGGCAGCACTGCAAGGGCTGAGGCTGAGGGCTGGAATTAAGGGAAAGTGCTGAAATCCCACCAGTTTCAGAAATAAAACATCCCACCGTGACTTGTGTCCTGGAAATAGTCTGGATGCACTGATGGGCAAGTGGAGAAGTGGCTCTTAGGGACGTGGGTTAGTGCTGGACGTGGTAGTGAGGGGGAACGGTTGGACTTGATGATCCTGGAGGGCTTTTCCAATCTAAATGAGTCCATGATCCTGTGATACGGGTGAAAGAGGTGGAAAAGTGCCCTGCTCGAAAAGGTGTTTAGATGTCCTTAGGCAGGGGAGGTAGGAGAGAAGGGGGAAAGCAGAAGCACTTGGAATATTGGGGGTGAAAATCCTGTTTTGCTGTGCTTGGGGTTCATTGTATCGGGATTTGTAGCTCTTGATAAAAGAGAGGTGTGTTTTCTGTTTCCATCCCAGAAGAACCCCACTGATGGAAGAAAGCTCTTTAGAAATGAAGTTTATAAATTACTTGTGTATGACTTTGGGCTGGTAATTAGCAGGAGTGACCTAATTTCCAAGAGTGGTGCTACAAACCTGTTCTCAAGAGGTTGTCTGTGTGCATGTCCAAGCCCTGAGCGTGCAGCCTTGTCCAGTCCTGGCCTCCTGTTGAAGGAGGAGTGGAGGCTTGCAGAGTAACTCAGGCTGGAGGTGCCCTGGGCTGGGGGTCTCCAGCTGAATCCCACTTCCAGCAGGACTGATGCCACAGTTGTGACAGGCAGGTCTGGCCACCCCGGGGATGGGGATCCTCCACCTCTTACACACGAAAGAGCTGTTTCCCTGGGTCAGCCTGGGCTTTCTGCAGGAGCATGTAGAAGCACCAGGCACGGATTAAGGCCCAGATCATCGTTTACACACCCCCAAGACACCACATTTTGCAGAGGCTGTGATCAAAACTTTATGCAACCTTGAGTGCTCTTGCTCCCTCATCCCTCGTGGATTGCTTCATCGTGTCCTGGAGCACCCCAATGTCTAGACATGCTTGTCTAGAGACTGAAATGTTTGCAGGATGCCTTGTGAGAAGAGCCCAGAAGAGCTCGCCTGTCTTATCTCAGAAGGCAGGAGCCAGAGGGATATTGTTCCTGCTGCAAATGCATCAGCCAGGGAGATGCTCTCTTCCCACCCATCCCCAGCCCTGCAGCCTGTGCTCAGTGCTCAGCGTTAAACCATCCCCGGGAGTGAGACGTTGCTGGAAATCGCTGCTCCCGGGGGAAGAGCTATGGAGATGTCTGGCATTTCAGGCTCCACATGCAAATGCATTCCAAGCTGCAGCCGTGCAGCCACCCGGCCTGCAAGTGCAGCGGGAAACTACACTTTGAGGGGGGAGGGAGGAGGAAAAAGGCTCTTGCGTTCCTCAGCTATGTAGGTCACGGCTGGGGGCAGGCTGGGAAGCTCACCCGCCGTGGAAAGCCGCCGAGGTTTTGCCTGGCTGCGGTCCAGCCGCTTTCCCGGCACGGAGAGGATGCTGTGCCCGCCGGCTGCAGGCATCCCGCTGCCTTCCCGGTGCTCCGACCGCCGGGGCAGCCTCCGGGGCTGCAGCACCGATACACCCGGGAGAGAAGGAAAAATCTGGTTAAATCCAAGAGAAACCTGCACGGAGCAGCCGCCCCTTTTGAGCCCCAGCCTTGAGGTGCGTGAGGATGGCTCGAGTCCAGCCCTGAGGGCTGACAGAGACCCGTGGGGCACTGTGCAGATTTACCCCGTTCTGATCCCTCAGCCCCCTGACGACACCGGGATGCAGCAAAAGCAAAAATCGCAGGGGCCGAATTCGCGGCTTTGCTCCAGAGGGCTCATTCAGGGTGTGTCTGCCCAGGCAGGGCAGGATGCAAAACCAATCTGGATTTTAACTGTTTTTTTTTTTTTTAACGATCACTTTCTCCTTCTTAAGCAGGCTGGGAAAGGATCCAGCTGGTTTGTGCACGGCAGTGTGCTAATCCTGCCCCGTGCCGTGCCAGCTCCGGAGGAGGTGGCAGGCACAGGTACCACGAGCACCGATGGGGTTTTGCTGCCACCCTCAGCAAGGGCAAAACGAACCTATAATTGGGTTGCAGTTGCTCCAGAAAACACTCGTTTGGGAATTAGAGACGGGAGAGAGCTATTGCATTGAGCCATTCACCTCCCAGCCCCTGCACATTGGTGGTAATCAAAACACTGGAGAACGTGGGAGCGTGGGAAAAATCAAGTAAAATCAGAAGGATCTTGCAAAGCTCCACAATAAATAGCTCCAAAATCTGGCATTTCGGAGGTGTCTCTGTTTCCAAGTGTTTGAGTCACAGCCTCTGGAGCTCAGTGTGGCCTGAGTGAGACAAGGCTGAGATCCTCCAAACACCCATTTTTGGCACTGAGAATAATCCATCTACTTAAGTTTAAAGCACCTCTTTAAGTCCTCCAGGATCCAAAGCCATAGGAGCATAGAGCAAGGAATGTCCAAAGGCAAAGTGGCCTGCCCCAAACCTTACCTTTCCCCTCAAGGAGCCCCCAAAGCAGCATGTGTTAGTTAATAGAAGTGTTTGGTGTGAAACAGCTGCTTCCTGGAAAAGGGTTTTTCTGTTACTTCCACAGCATTGTGACGCACTCAGGAATTCTGCCACAGCTGGATATATTGCCCTTCTTTGCCTGCATTTCCTTATGTGCAATGCCCATGTTATGTGCACCAAGACACCTGCTGTACAGTGGGATTCTTTCATGTCTTTTCCCTAAAATTTGGGTGTGGCCACAGCAATCCATCTTCCTTCCACTTTTCTGTTTCTCTGGATTTCCCTTCTCCTCCACCCAGCATCCCCACCACCATCCCATGCCCTTCCCCATCCCTGTGCCAGGGGAGGGTCACAGGCTGTCTGTCCCATTCCCCTCCTCCCCAGGACATCCCCCTGAGCCCCTTTTGGCCCTGTTTGCTCTCCCAGCAATCCCAGGAGTTATCACCTTGCCTTGCCTCCACCTTTCTACAGTTAAAAGCAATTTAAGGCAAAACAACCATTCTGGATGACACAGTTTAGGGGTTTCCTGCTACAAAGTTCTTGGTCCCCCCAGCCCCCCAGCCCTGGTTTTGCCCTTGCTGGTGTTCAGCACCAGCCCATCACCACGAGGCCTCAAGCTCAGCACTGCACCTGCAGACCCTTCTCTGTGTCTGGCACGTCCAAACGGATTTTGGACGAGCCCAAATCTCAGCATTCAGGAAAAACGGGACATTCTGAAATTACAGGTGGTGAGTCCGCCTTACAAACACCCCTTTACCAGAGTGGAACCTGAGTCAGACTCAGATTTCAGTTTTATGGTGTTTTCAACCCAAATCCAGAACTTTAAAAAAAAAATTCCACAATCAGCCAGGAGCTAAAACTACAGCTCTGAATCAAAACATCTGAACCCAAGCCCTGAACTCAGACAAGATCTGAAGTTCTCCCATGTTCTTCATTTTAAAAAATAAAAATAGGTCAAATTTGGACCCATAAAGGGCTTGTTTTTCATAAAGGGCTGGACATGGTTGGTAGGAGGTTCCCTTTCCAGTGTCAACATCATACAATGGCCTGAAGGACCCATCATCACGTACTCAGTGCAGGACTAAGCATTTGACTTATATCCCCCTCCTAAGACTCGAGCACTACTGGTGGGTTACAAATTCCCCCTGCATCTCACTGGAGCACTATCCAAAATCTGACTGTGGGTTTAAATGCTATTTACTTTCATGCTCAAGGGGGATAATTTTGCTTTTTTTTTCCCCCCATGGTCACTGTTGTTTTGTGTTGTTTTATGTCAGAAATAACTGATTTAGGAAGAATGATCCTGTTGTCTCTCTCAGGAGGGTGGACTTTCTCCTCCGAGCCGTATTAATTGATTTAATTTATCTTAAATTTGATTGCAGTGAGCACCCCTAATTAACCTGATTTTTTGCTGCTAATCACTCACAATGGAATCAAATCAAAAATCCGGGGATGGATTGACCGGCACACAGAAAGAAGCCGCCCTCCGTGCCTTAATTCAGCGAACGGGATATAATTTGATCCAGGTAGGAATTCATGGTCACATCCTTTTGTGTGCAGTGTCCAGCTTCATCCTGGAGCTTCAGCAGGGGCTCGAGCAGGAAATCTGCACATGAGGTGCTCCTGGCTCATTCCTTTTCCCTCTGTTTTTCTCTGACACGTGTGCTGTCCTTAACCACATGGAATAGGTGCTGTCTTTCATGAAGCAGGATCTTATTCCTCCGGGAATTTATTGCTTAATGCAAGATTATGGTTAAAAAAATCACGATAAAAAAAACCAGCCCTGACCACTGCTAAGTGAAGCTTGGGATTGATGTCTCAAAGCCACGGCTGCAGAGGTAGTTTAGCAAATAAAACCCACCCAATAAAGCTTCAGAAGAGCGTGGCTGGACTGAATTGGGAAGTCCAGCACGTCACCACCAGGTCAGCCTTTTGTATAGATACAGGTGAGGCAGGTGCTTCACCTGCCCAGACACCAAAGGTTTGCTCCCAGCTCAGTCTTCAAGGTCTCCAAGATCAAGGCCTCCTGTGGTGGCCTCCAAGGTGGAGACTGGGCACGTCCTTCCAAACCCACCTGAAGAAGTGTTTCTCAATTAACACCACCAAAACGAGCTGCTTTTTCTAAACCACTGGGCACTGATATGACCGACTGTGCATCCTGGAAGAAGTAGCTGAAACCACTGAATTTTAGGCAGGTGGAGGCCTTGAACTTTGCCTTGCTTTGCATAGCACTAGAGGGCACAACAGCCCAAAGGAAAACCCGAGATTCCTGGGAAAAAGCATTTTCCTGGAGCCCTCAATCCGGTGTGCCCCAAGACCAGGCCAGCTGCTGGGTTTGTTGCCCTTGAGGTGGCTTTTTACTGTACCTGACCCAGAAGATAAATGACTTCTCTATGTCTTATATTTACTGTGGCTTTCTTAGAATCCCAGAATCCCAGACTGGTTTGGGTTGGAAGGGACCTTGAAGCCCATCTCATCCCACCCCCTGCCATGGGCAGGGACACCTTCCACTAGCCCAGGTTGCTCCAACCTGGCCTTGGACACTTCCTGTTATAGGGTCAAGAAAACTAAAAGACCTTCTGGTATATTCCTATTTTCCTGTAAGGATCTCTGTTTGCTGACCTGCTTTAGGCCTTCCTCCAAAGTCAGCTGTACAGGCATTCGCTTGCCTGGAATAATCCCAGAGTGGGAAGTGACCAAAGAAATGGCCAGGGAGCTGAAAATAGAAAAAGTACTGGAGTCCCAGCTCCTCTGGTAGGACAGAAGAAGGAAGAGAGGCAGGAAGGAAGGAAAGGGAAGGAAGGAAGGAAAGAAGGAAGGAAGGAAGGAAGGAAGGAAAGAAGGAAGAAAGGAAGAAAAATGAAACAATACAGGAAAGATGATTAAAAATAGGAGAACAGAGACACACCCATCTAGCAAAAACATACCATAAAGAGGAAATATTGACTGGTCTTCACACCTGTTGGGGACCGAGATCTGCCCTCTACCTGAAGGATCTCCTGGGTAGGCAGGTGTCACCCTTTGCCCCTCACAGGGCCACCCACCACCGATGGCCCTGCTCTGTCCCTGCCGTGGGGCTGTCTCTGCCATCTCCTCTGCCCAGTCCTCCTCCTCTGAAATCCCTGGCACAGTCACAGAAAGTGCTGCCCCACTCCTGGGAGCAGGAAAGGGGGGGTGTCAGGGTGCACCACATCTCCATGCCCACCTCCAAGTCCTCCCCACACCTTGTGCCAGGCACTGCTTCCTCTCCACTCTCCCAGCTGCTGGCACAAGTGTCTCTCTTCAAGGGCACTGAGCAGCTCCAGCACAACCTGATGCCAACAGTGCCCGGGGCTCACTGGCTGGACCCCTGCACTCCCATCTCTCTCCCAGATTTTCCCCTGCATGCCCACCTTTCCCTCTCTGTTGGCTCTTTCTGAGGTCCTGATGCCTTCTGGTTTTGGAGAGTCCTTCTGCTTTCAAACACAGCTCTTCTGGTACCTTCTCTTTGCTCTGTAGAGTAGGAAGCTCTCCATCAGTCACCGAATAAGAGGTGATTTCATTGTTAATAAATGTTCATGATTGGATGAAGAATCATGACAAGTTATAAGTGTTGCAGGTGCTCTGTTACACAGTCCACAACTGACACACAGCCCACAGAGATTCCCCTCCCAGAGCCAGGGAGACATTTCCCAAGCAATTATCTGACCATCTCCATCTTGGACACCCGAAGTAGCAACTGAGTTGAATGTTCCTTAGCAAAACTCAGTACAAACCACACCCTTCCCCAGTACATCCCCAGTAGCCTGTCTGGGTTATCCAGGTACACATTTGGCAGTGGGACAACCATTCCACACCACGTTACCTCTGAGGAGTCTGGGAAGAGCTGCTCCTTGAAGGGAAGGAGGGTGCCTGCCTCCAGTGTGTCCTAAGTGTCATTCCCTGAGAAGGGATCCATGTTTAAAAATCTGTCTCTAAATATATCTAATCTATATCTTTCTCTCCATGGCAGGAAAATGGGCAGAGGAAATACGGAGGACCCCCACCGGGCTGGGATGGCCCTCCCCCGGAGAGGGGCTGCGAGATCTTCATCGGGAAACTGCCCCGAGACCTCTTCGAAGATGAACTTATCCCACTCTGCGAGAAAGTGAGACTTCCTGGAGGGTGGAGGCATTGCAGGGGCTGGTGCTGGTCAGAGCTGCCTTTCAGGGTTGAACCAGAGGTGATTTCAAGGCCAGGTTGGACGGGGCTTGGAGCATCCTGGGCTAGTGGAAGGTGTCCCTGCCCACGGCAGGGGGTGAAATGAGACGAGCTTTAAGGGCCCTTCCAGCCCAAACTAGTCTGGGATTCTGTGATGATTTGGCCCAGATGACTGGGGGAGCTCTGATCTTTAAACACCTCCCACCTTGCCGACAAACCTCTTTCTTTCTTGTTTGCAGATTGGCAAAATCTATGAAATGAGAATGATGATGGACTTCAATGGCAACAACAGGGGCTATGCCTTTGTGACCTTCTCCAACAAACAGGAGGCGAAGAACGCAATAAAGACCCTCAATAATTACGAAATTAGGTAAGCCTGGCAAACACCTTCACATCAGCTTTAAACCACAGACAGCTGGTGTGGTGTGTAAGGTATATTTTTCCTCGCATCCCCAGAGCAAAGCTATTTAGATACCTGAGCTTTGAGAGGAGATCTACTCTTATCTCCCTGTGCAGTTGCTGCTTTCTGCCCTGGTACAAAGGACTCTTCAGAGTCAATGTCTTTTGCAGGGAATTTCTTACAAAACAACAACAACAGAAAAATCCATCAGGACATCGGGAAAAAAATATTTTGCTTTGGATCAAATTAACTTTCCCCCAGCCATTGCTGTTTGTTTCACCTTCCCCTCTGAGCAGTTTGTTGTTGATTTATTCCTGTTCACAGCCTCTCTTGTGACAGATACCGTGGATGTGTTTTGGGAGACAGAGCAATTGCAAAAAATGCTGAAATAGGATGGAAACCAATTGGCAGAACAGTGACATTTCCTAATAGAAAGGAACAGAAAAAGCCCTCATGGTTGTGACTAAAAACTGGGAACAAAACACCCAGAAATCAACAACATATGGGCCCATCAATATGTTTTGTTTTGATTTCAACCACACTTACTGTTTTTTTCCAGTTCAAAGTGGGATGAGTAGATGCCTTTGCTTAAAAGCCTTTTGAGATAAACCATTCTGGCAACTTTATGGCTTTCATTTTTGTTTTTAATAAAAAAAGATGGGTTGTGAACTGCTTTACTAGCAACCCTAAGGATGAGCAGATCCCAGAGAGGGCTGGAAATATGATTTGTATCAGAGGCTGGAAGGTTTTAGGGATCAGGCTTCATCCACCTCCACCTCCTCCACTTCCTTCCCTTGTTCCAAAGACTCCTCTAAATAAGTTTTTGACTTCTCAAGACATGTAAGAGATACTTTGACCACAAAGAGGTGAACAAAGTGCGTGTAAGGAAGTTTTTACTTTGGGATCTGTACAACAGTTGCCATCAGTGAGGCCCCAAAGGGTGTCTCTCCGTGACAAGGGATTTTCTTTCCCCAAAACCTCAGTTGTGAGGCCCAGTCATGAGTGGGAAGCCACAAGTCACTGATGAATGCAACAGATCTTGGCTCATACTGGGTGGCAACACAAGGGTCAGTGCTGTGACCCCTGGGTGTGGGCACAGCTGCCTGGTAGCAGCAAAGAGCAAAAGGGAGAATCCCAGGAAGCAAAAGCAAAATCCTGCTTTGGTTTCTCCCTGCCCTCAAACCCTTCATTTCAACTGTGCTGCCTGACTCTGATGTCAGATTTAGCAGAGTGGCAGCCCCTGAGCAAGACCACTGGAGTATCCGAAACAACACCCGGCTCAGAAGCAGGAGGCCCCGCGTTTTGGGACAAGAGAGGGGGTTTGTTTTAACCTTCCCCTCTCTCTGCCCCCGACAAACCAGCAGTGTCGTTTGTGCTCAGGAACGGGCGGCTCCTGGGGGTCTGTGCCAGCGTGGACAACTGCCGCCTGTTCGTGGGGGGGATCCCCAAGACCAAGAAGAGGGAGGAGATCCTGGCGGAGATGAAGAAGGTGACGGACGGCGTGGTGGACGTCATCGTGTACCCCAGCGCCGCCGACAAGACCAAGAACAGGGGCTTTGCCTTCGTGGAGTACGAAAGCCACCGGGCAGCAGCCATGGCCAGGAGGAAACTGCTCCCAGGTCAGCACAGAGGGAAGGGTTTGGTTCGGGGGGCACCTCGCGCCGTGCAGGGGGGGCGATTCTCTGCAGCTCCCGGGGGAGCACCGCGCTGATTATCCACGCTGGGCACTCAGGAGCTTGAGTTTGTTAAAACACAGCTGGATGGATCTGGGCTGCGTGTATCCAGACAGCTCTGCTGGAGGGTGTGTTTTATCCTGTGGTTATAGTTGGGTTATACATAAAATACAGCCTCTGTTGTGGCCTCTCTGAGGGAATCACTCAGGAAAGCACCCGAGAACGGATTCTGTCTTGAGAAAGTACTGAGGATGCTCCAGAAAACAGGTTATTTTCCATGTGGGAAGAAAACTTTGAGTGAGGAATTGCTTTAAACAATGTTGAGAATAAGTCTATGGAATTTAATGCTGGGGGACAGTCAAAGGCCACTGTGAAGCAGAGAGGGGTTTAGCAGGTGTTAGATGAAGAAGTCACTTAACATTCAGTGCATTTGCAGGAATTTCACCACTTTCCTCTTGCTTTCTTATGTTCAACAGCTTCTGCACTGCTTTGTTGAACCCAGCTCACTTGCTGGGGAAAGCATCCAAAAAACCTTCTGGTTTGAGACTTGTTCATAACCCACCAGCCTTCTTTCACCTGTTCTATCTGACAGCCCATGAAACATCCTGCATAATTTAAATCCTTTTTACTTACTGTGAAAAAAAAAAAAAAGAGCATGATTTGAGCACTGAATACTCTTGGATACTGTGGGATATCTCACACTATTCTTCCTTTTATTCTGCGTTTTCTGCGTCACTTCAGCAGAACTCCCTGACTGTGGGAGCACATTCAGCTGGTCTGTGCTTCAGCACCACTCTTCCATGGTTTCTCCATGGAGAAGGAAGGCAGGAGCAGGCAGAGCCACAGCTGCCAACCAGCCTTGAGGGAACAGAGCGCTTGAAATCCTGAGCAAAGACAGCGAGACAGATGGAAGGGGCACACGTGAACAGACATGTGCAATTTCCAATTTGGGGATGTCTCAGCAAACAGTTTTTGGGAATTTCAAAGGCCTGAGCAGGAGCCAGACATCTTCTGATGTTCCAAACATACGGCAGGAACTGCAAAAAAGTTCCAAGCCAGAGCTAAATGTGTGTCCAGGGCATTCACTGGATGGATGAGAGGTGGAATATCCTTATCAAGACCCCTCCTTTAGTCTGAACCTCGCTGCTCTTTGAGGGAGCTCTGTAGAAGAGACAGAGATGCTCAAAAACGGAGCTTAAAAAAATTTAAAACCTTGTCCTGTCTCCTGGCTAAAACAAGAGGGTGGAAGTTTAGCAAGAGGCTGGTGCAGGACCAAGCTCAGCTCCTTGCTGCAAGTCAGCCGGGTCATTATTCCCACTACTGAGCTGGAAATAGCAGTTCAGAAAGGGGCACATAACCACGAGCACCCATCTCTCTGTTTCTGCTCACCAGTGGCTCAAATCAGACTGTGCAGTGCTGAAAGCTGAACATCAGCTCGGCCTCACTCCACAGACCCTGGCTCATTCGTGAGGGATTCAGAGGGAGCAGCATCTTTCCATTTAGTTTGATCATTTACACTTCCAATACAGAAAAACGAGTCTCCAAATCCTACCCTCAGCCTCTGATTTTGTAGCTCCCACCCCATCTTAGATGGGTTACCCAAGCAGAGGTGCAGTGTAGGATGCTTTTTAGATCTGGCAAGGAATGTTTTGCAGGATTTTCTTTTTCCCCTCTGTTGGAAATGATTGGTTTAGGTCACTTAAATAATCACTAGCAGAGTATCAACAAAAGCTGATTTAACATAAATTTGCAAAGGCACGACAAAGTTTTATGGCAATGTTGACTCTGTTACTTACTAAATAGATAAAACACACAAAGAAAAACCAGATTAAAGCAATCTAGAATGATTTATCTGGGAGGCAAAAGGGTAAGGAGGGGAACAGTAAGGGAGTGAACCCCCTTGCCAAACTTAGTATGGACTGGATGAATGGTTTGGATCTAAATGATTTATCAATTGTAACAATACCTAATTCAACTCAACAACAGCACTTCTTAATATATTGACTAATTTAACATCAATAAAACAGTTCAATTGAATTCTGCCTAAGTGCAACATAACCATATATCCAACTTGACCATTAATTTAATTATAAAATCTAAAATGGCAACATTTGTAATACACACGCACGCCGAGATAAAGTGCAGACAAAGGTACGTACCCACGGGAAATTCCCCTTGAATCCAGGGAAATGCTCCTGTCGGATGCCTTTGCCCGTCCCCAGGGGGCAGAGGGTTGAGCCTTGAGGAGCGGAGGCGTCGCCCCAGGCTGTGTCCCCGGCGTTCAGCCCCTCGGTGCCACCTGGGGAAGGCGGGAGGTGAAGAAACCATCGCTCCCCGAGCTCCCTGTGCCTTGCCCGGGGTGCTGCTCCTCACTGCCATTCCCACAGCTCTGGGACAAGTCCCTCTCGGATACATATTAAACGTCACTAATTGACCAAGCAGCTACTTAAGGGATTAGGTGGCTCAGTGCAGACGATTATGGACCTCAGTGTGATAAGGACAGACATCACCGCCTTTAACCACCTCTTTGTTTGCTCTTTGTGTTCTCTGCCCCTCAGCAGCTCATCCACAGCTCAGAGAGCCCCGGGGCTCACCCTCCACACCCACACCTTGGTTTATGCCTCGTTTTTTTTAGTGTCCCTCCTTTCTTCTGCTGCAGCTTCACCCAGTGGGGTCCAAAGGAATTCAAACACACACAGAGACATCCCTGCTTTTGCTGTTTCATTTCATCCAGCCAGGACTTCAGGATCCCTTTTTGTGTTATCTAAGGAATGAAGCTTTTGCAGCCAAAAGGGATTTTTATACAGTTCCCTTTGAGGGAGCGCTCCAGGGAATGTGGAATTTAGTGAATGATGCCATATTTCCATTTCTTTCAATTGTGGACGCTGCATTTCTGCAGGCACCTGAACCATTGGTGGGAGCAGGCTCCAAGTGTGACCATCTGCTTTCGGAAATGAGTTAATGAAGCAGCAGTGCTTGGAGCTAGAAAGGCTTTTCTGGTTGTGTTTGGAGAATTTGGCCTGCTCTGCTGCTCACACTGCACACAAAACAGTGTCTGAGCAGAAGTGAGAGGAACCAGAGCCTGCCTGAAACACTGACCATGCCAATCCCTTTAAAGGAAGGATCCAGCTCTGGGGACACCCCATCGCTGTGGACTGGGCAGAGCCAGAGGTGGAGGTGGATGAAGACACCATGTCATCAGTAAAAATCCTCTATGTGAGGAACCTCATGCTCTCCACCACTGAAGAGACCATAGAAAAGGAGTTCAACAGCATCAAACCAGGTAGGAGCCCCCTGATGCTGCAGCTCCTGAATAAACGCCGCTTCTGCAAGTGGAAATATTTCTCTGGTCATAAAATGCCAAAGGAGGAGATAAAAATAGCTGGTTCTCTGCTGTAAAATGTTCCTGTGTAATGCCACAAAAATGGTCATTAGGCTGAAGGCTCCCACCCAACTTGCACACCATGTCATCCCATTAAGGGCAGTTTATTTTCCAGCTAACGACACTGCTAACCTTTTTTGGGGGATTGGCAACTGGAAGAGATCCAAAATGCTGCATGGGGATGCCTGTGTCATAAAAATGATTTGGAATCATTTCAGTTCTTTCTTTAAAAAAAAAGAGAGAGCTGGTGAAGCAGCTGGGTGATTTCAGCATTCTTCTATGGCAAGGAATGATAAAAGTAGCATGATTTAATACAAATCCTTTTTATCTAATCTATCTAAATTCTGAACTCTGTAATTTTCATACATCTCCCCCCCCAATTCTCCTGTAAATTTGTGAATAATCAGCATTAATCTTTTAACAGAATATTCCTTTGTGGTGTATATTACATGCACTTAGGGTGAGGCTTTTTCAAAAAGCAAGTAGATTTGTTGGGGCTAAAAATCCTGCTGCCTTTCAAAGGAGATTTTACTTCTGAGCAGCTCCAGCTTTAGGAAATTCCACCCAAAACCAACAAAGTAAAAATAACCTGTTTCTGCAGCTCTCCAAGCCACACAGTCCATTAGGCATTAGGAACTTTTGCTTGGCAATGTGAATCTCCTTTCATCTCGTTCCTATTAACTTCCTTCTATTAATTTTTTAAAATACACTACAGAGCTTCATTTTTCCTTCACCAGCTTTTCATGTCTGCTCTATACATGCCTTTTACTGTACTAGGCTGCAATGCAAAGCTTACGAGGTTTTCTTGTGTCCTTCCAACATTTCTGCCTGATACTTTTAGCCACCATCAAGCTGCTGGAGACCCCATTTTACCCCTGAGTTAAATTTATGTCATCACCCTCTCTCAACTGTTTCCTTCTTTTATTTACCCAGTTTTGCTGCTGAGCACTGAACAGCTCACACTCCCCAGAAACACATTTATGCCCCTTTGACACTTTGGTAACAGTCATCTGCTCTGCTCCTAAGGCAAGTTTTCCAGTACAACAACAGAAGTTCTGTATCATCTTTAATTTTCACTTCATCATTTCAGTGCTCGTGTTGGAATTTTTTTTTTTAATTATTATTTTTTTTTCAATGGACACCTTTAATTTTGGTGGATAAAGTGGGTACATTAGATCAGCAAAAATTTCAGCTTTGGGGAGAGCAAATGCAGTTTTAGTGGGATCAAAAAAGGCAGCAAGGATGTGAAGTGATTCCCTCCCCTGCTTTGGTTCTCTGCCTTGTTCACTGAGCCACATTTCAGCACCACTCACCTGAAGTTACATTTGATCCAGGGCATTAAGAAGCTGCTTTGACATTACCAAGTCACCCAATAAAAGATGATCCAAAGGAGTTATGATCCAGAGGTCCCCATGACAGAGCAATTCCGTCTATGGCTCCACAGACACTGCTTATGCATCTTAAACTGTGGTTTACTACAAGTATCACCCCTTAAATCTGTCCCAAATTCAGTGCTTGGTGACTTCTATAGAGATACACATCTCATCGAAGAGCCCTGCCCTTGCTCCCTGGGGATTCTGGCAAAATTCCTCATCCCTGCTGAAGTTTCCAGCAGGCAGCTCGTGCTCTCCCAGTGTTCTGAAGGGGGCAGTACTCCCCCTCCGACATTCCATGGATGTTCTCTCCAAGGGGAGCTATCACACTGCTTTGCCCCGGCTGAGGCAGAAGCAGGGAAGAGCAAACTTTTAGGCTCAGGAGAGGATCCCTGTCATGGAACACTCCCAGGGAGGCAGAAGGGGGATTTTCAAAACACAGCGAGTTCATTAAAGCCTCGACTTGTAAACAAGGCATCAGCATGTAACTCCCATAGCTTCAGGCTTGGAAAAATCACCTTCTGTCCCAGAAGGACACAAAGTGCTGCTTACCATTCCAGTGCTGCTCAGGTTATGGGCTGGGACAGGCTCCATTTATCCCACTGCAGCTCCTAATGGCTCCCCCTGAACACCAGAGAAATTTATTTTCTCCTGCATTTATCTAGGCAAGTGTTTTTGTGGCAGTGTGACATTTCCCTGTGCCCCTGTTTGGCTTTAAAAGGTAAGAAGCCAAGGGGAGAGTTGTTGAGCATCCCTGAGCCGAGTTTCCAAAGGATGTGTTTGGAGGTGGTACTTTTGGAGGCTGGGCTGGTTGATGATGTGCTCCCCAAGCTGCAGGAGCAGGGAACATGAACAATTAAAGAGAGGGCAGGTGTCTAAAGGTTGTGGCCATGGGGAAGGGGACTGGTGGAGTTATTTTGGAGACAAACCTCTCAGTGCTGAGCATCTCAGTGCCGACAAGTGCCCAAGGGCAGAGCAGCTGACAAGGGAAAGGGAAAGCTCTAGAGGGAAGATGCAGAAGTGAAGAACAAGAAGCCATTTACATTTGAATTATTTTGGGTGATCACACAGGTGTAAGAAGGACTCAGGCTGGAGGCACCAGGGTGGGGGTCTCCAGCCCAAGCCCGCTCCCAGAAGGGCCAGCACCTCAGCTGGAGAGGCTGACTGGGGCCATGTCCAGGCCATTTGGGGCATCCAGGGAATCCCCACTGACACAGGAAAGGCTGTTTCTTAGCAAGAGACCTGCTGTCCCTTCAGCCCCAGCCCGTCCCTGTGCCTGGGGCTGCTCTGTCCCAGGCAGGACTGGCTGTTCCTTCTTGCTGAACATCCTGAGTTGATGAGTAAGAGAAAAGCCTCGTTGTTTTATGGCAGGAGCATCAGCTTCCCTGAAGCTGCCTCCAAGCACCATGCATGCAGGAAACCATGGAGATGGGATCACAGGGTGATGTTTCTTGTAGCTGGTGCAAGCCCTGCTCAGCCAGTTTAGTGGTCTGTCACAGAAGGGAGACACAGGACCAAAGGTAGGGTCCAACAGAGCACTTTGGACAGGAGAAAACCACTCCAGTTTAAAGGGAAACTGCTGTCTGCTCCCAAACCCTTCTAGTGTGTCTTGAAATACTATAACCATTCTATATTTACTTTCCTATGCCTTATACCTCCTAAGAGGTATCCTCTTGTTCTTGTTCTTTTACCCTTTGCTCTCCCAGGGCTCATAACCTGACACAGCTGCTCTTTCAGACCTGTATTCTCCAATTAAACCCCATTTCCTACTAATACTCCAACGTTTTCTACAGGTGCGGTGGAGAGAGTAAAGAAAATTAGAGACTACGCCTTTGTGCACTTCAATAAGAGAGAACATGCTGTGGAAGCTATGAAAGCATTGAATGGGAAGGTAAATACTAATTCCTGGAGCTTGGGTACATTATATTACACACACTGAAACAAAGCTTCCTGATTTATCAGCTACAAAAACCTCCTGGAGGTGTCATCCCTGTTTTCTCTTTGCAGGCTGCTTTTATACTCCTGAATCTGTTTTTCTGCAGCTCTGATGTACACAAACTATTCATTTTGGCTGCCTGTATTCGTGCTAAATGTTTGCCCAGCTCAGACTCTAGTTCACTGCTCAGAAAAAGGGGGGGGGGGGGGCGGAAAGCAGAGGAAGCTGCAAGAAGAACTAGCAAAAGAGGGGGTTTGGGCTCCCTTGGCTCGCACTCACATCCTTGTTCCACGTCTGCCAACAAAAACACTCGCAGGGCAGCGTGTGAATGGCAAACTGGGACAAACAAGGTCAGCCCAGAACATCTGCTCCCAGTTCAGATGAAGGTTTGCAGGGGGGGTGCCGGATTTAGTCCCTGTTGCGCCGCCTGTAATTCCCGGCGCTGCAGTGCCGGGGCTGCTCCCAAGGAGGTGTTAACCCTGCTCCTATTCTTAGTGCTACTGCTGTTCCCCGCAGGAGCACATGGAATCTCACTGGCTTACCAGCTCCTTGGCAGGGAAGTGAAGCCTTTGGAAGGCTGTGCAGGTTCAGTTAAGGGGGCGGGGATGGGCACTCTCAACACCCTAAGACTGTACACCAAGCCGGTGCTGCCTTCTACCTGTGGGAGGGGGACTTGGGGGATTTCTGGGGCTGGTTTCCTTCATTTTCTCATCCCATTAGCAAACCCCCTCCCTAGGCAGGATAATCCATGTGCACTTTGGAGACTCACCCTCCTGCCGTGCTCTCTCCCCGCCGGGAAGGTGCTGGACGGGTCCCCCATCGAGGTGACTTTGGCCAAGCCGGTGGACAAGGACAGCTACGTGAGATACACGCGTGGCACGGGCGGCAGGGGCCCCGTGCTGCCAGGGGAGTACACCTACACTTTTGGGCACGTGTACGACCCCGCCGCCGCCTACCTGGGCGCCCCGGTGTTCTACGCGCCCCAGGCCTACGCCGCCATCCCCAACCTCCACTTCCCCGCCACCAAGGGGCTCAGCAACAGGAGCATCATCCGGCCCCCCTCCATCCGAGGTAACGCCTGCCACACAGCACTCGGCTCCAGCAAAATAGCTCCTCCTACCTGTGTGTCGTTGGACACCGCCCTGGCTCCCGGACCCCTTACCCAAAGGGATGGAAAACGTGGGGTTTGGGCTCTGTCCTTCCCAATTTTCCAGTGGGCCAAGTTGAAAGAAATCACAATTTTCCAGGAGTAAGCCTGAAAGAGCTTCCAGATTGCCCTCGGGCCAGTGTAAATAAACCACAAATCCTGGTTTTGCCCCAGCAGGGAAGACCAAATAAAACAATTTTCCTTTCCCCCCTTCAGAGCCAGACCCCACAGCCAGCCACCAGCACAGCTCAGCGCTGTGTTTCTTCTTTGCTTTGAAGGTCACAGGGAAAGTTTTACCAGTCCTGATGTTTTCTGACCCAAAGCCATGGAGCTTCCCAAGGAGGTCACCATGCCCCTAATACAGGGTAGGGAGCCAGCACTGAAATCAAGAAAGCCATTAATGATGTGCTCTGGGAGATGGAGCCCTGTTTTGGGGGGTCATCAACCTTATAATAACCAGGGTATTTCTGAAAACTACTGGGTCACTGCACCTGGGACCAAATCAAATCCCCCCACTCAGCTACCCCCAAATTAAATATCAGTGCAGACATCATTTGGTAAGTGCAGAAGTAAGTTTGGGGTTAGCAAAAAAGAAAAATAAATAAATAACTCTGCTCATTTGATCCTCCTTCCAAAGATTATGCCTTGTGTCCCCAAGCCCCTGGCCAAGTCCCACAGCAGTCTGGGACTCTGTGTGGCACCCCAACAGGGCTAACAAGGACCATCATGGCCAGTTTTTCTCCCTTCACAAGGAAGGGGACAGGGCAGCCTGGAACACCCCTTGCACCTCATGTTTTTCCCACACAGGTGAAAGCAGCTTCTACGAAGTTTGCAGTGGGAAAGGTGCAGATGTGATAACCCACCATCCCTCTCTCGCCTTATGTTCTCCCCAGACCCCCAAGCAGGGTTCCCTGAGGAAAAATGGAAGTGTAATGGGGTGAAAACAAAAAGGAATTTTCATTTATATAAGGGTGAAATTGTATAAACTCTGAATTCTTCCAGAAGGTGAAATTAAGCTGGTGGGTAACAAAAGATACCAGCTGTCACCTCTCCA